GCCGGTGGAGGCTGCATCAGCGTCGGGCAGAGCTACGAGACGGGGCGCGAACACGTGTTCACCAAGACTGGTTTATTTGCATAGAAATCAAACCAATTGACCCATGACCTTTGCCCCATAAACTTTTGTACAATTGTAGATGTGCATTACAGCTACTTTAGCCGGGTGGTTGTGGCTATGTATGCCTGTAATCCACGACTGCGTGGAGGTGAGGGTTGGTGGATTACAAAAATGTTGCGAAAACTCCCACCCCGTTGGTCGTCAAGGAGGTAGAGAAGGCGGTATCGAAAAATGTGGACTCCGCCTGTTCCATCTCTTGTGTGATAGAGCGTTGGCCCCCCATTTGCTTGGATTTCTCCAGGTGCTCCGATTTCCTCTCACATGTAAACACTCATTAATCTTGATTTGAAGCTTTCGTGACTGCAGGAATCCATACTCTCTGGTTGTTTCTGTAAAGTCACGTAGGGAGAAAAAATAATAATGGTTCACGACGTTTCGATCGCCACACAAGCAAATCGTCGAAGCGCCGGGTGGCTAAAGCACAGCAAGTTGGCACAGTAGGGGGCACAGGTGGTGCATCAGCCACTCATCTCGGTCATCTCAGTCAGTCGACCCGTGGCACCTGCTGGGTCTGCCCGTGACGTTCGACGCTGAACAAATGGCCTCAACATGCACCTAGCCTGGCACAAGCGTCGTGGTGACGTCACTGCCACTTAGTGGCGAATGGCGGTTGTTGTTGTGTGTGTGTGGATAAAACTCAGCAAGTTGGCACAGTAGGGGACACAGGTGGTGCATCTGCCAGTCATCTCAGTCATCTCAGTCAGTCGACCCGTGGCACCTGCTGGGTCTGCCCCGTGACCTCGTGCCAGCGGGCCTTCGACACTCAACACGTGGCAGCCTCAACGTGCACCTCGCCTCGCACAAGCGTCGTGGTGACGTCACCTCCACTTTGTAGCCAATGGCGGTTGTTGTTGACGACGTCGCCTAGGCAACGCCGCCCCGCCCCCCTGTGCCCGCCTCGCTCTGTGCACGCGAGGAGGCGCCAATCCGTGACGCGGCACTGAACGCGGCGCGTCACCGCTCAGCGCGGGTTGGGCCCTCGGCCGCGTGCACGGCAGGCGCACGCTCGCTAATGTTTACTCTTTTACTCGCGTTTGTGTTCCTCGTCGTCTTTGTTGTTGTTAAAGGTGAGGTGAATGATGATGACGATGCGCGACGTGTGTATTGATGTATACGCGCAGTTTATATGTTTAAACATGATAGTAGTTTAGGCCTCCGAGCCGTATTTTCCTAATGAGCTTTTTATGCACCAACCTCAATTATTGCGCTTTTGTTAATCATTAACATTTAACAGGAATAATATACTTTAGATAGATGATCAAGCTACGATATTTTGCACAACTGACGATGGCAAAATTGTGGATATTGTGCGATATGTGCCACTGAAACCGCAAGAACTCAATAATGACGACTCGTGTTGAGTGTTTAATCTGCAAGCAATGAGCCCACCACAGGTTCGTAAATGTTTGAATGGAAACAGTGAAATTAATAAAAACTTGTTTGCTCTGCCATTTGATTTAAAGATACAACTCTTCAAAGGGCTTTGGTTGTAGTTAGCAATGTTTTAATTTCTATTTGGTTCTTTCGGTAAAGTCACTGAGAAATTAAATAAATAAATAATAGAATACGACGTTTCGATTGCGACACAAGCAATCATCATCAGGTAGAAATGAAAGATAAAACAAACCTAGTGAACTTAGAAATACAATGCAATCCAACACAGAGAGTCGGCTAACACAACAGTCAGCACCTCGCCTGGTTGATTACGTTCTTCTAAAGATGACTACATTTGAGAGAGAGACAAAACACAGCCAGAGAGAGACACAACATAGACACACTGTGTGTCTATGTTGTGTGTCTCTGTGTTGTCTTTCTCTGCTTGTGTGTCTATGTTGTGTGTCTCTGTGTTGTCTCTCTCTGCGTGTGTGTCTATGTTGTGTGTCTCTGTGTTGTCTCTCTCTGCTTGTGTGTCTATGTTGTGTGTCTCTGTGTTGTCTCTCTCTGCTTGTGTGTCTATGTTGTGTGTCTCTGTGTTGTCTCTCTCTGCTTGTGTGTCTATGTTGTGTGTCTCTGTGTTGTCTCTCTCTGCTTGTGTGTCTATGTTGTGTGTCTCTGTGTTGTCTCTCTCTGCTTGTGTGTCTATGTTGTGTGTCTATGTTGTGTGTCTCTGTGTGGTTTCTCTCTTCTTGTGTGTCTGTCTGTCTGTCCCCGTGTCTGTGTTTTGTCTTTCAAATTTAGACATCTTTGGAAGAATGTAATCAACCAGGAGAGGTGCTGACTGTTGTGTTAGCCGACTCTCTGTGTTGGATTGTATTTCTAAGTTCACTAGCTTTGTTTTCTACCTGATGACGATTGCTTGTGTTGCAATCGAAACGTCGTATTCTATTATTTAATTTATTTTCTTTCTACGTGACTTGACCGAAAGAACCAAAGAGTAATTTCTGCAGTCACGAAAGCTTCAAATCAAATATTTGAATTTGTTTAAAGGAACTGTATTCTCTTACATGTTTTGTATTCCTAGGCATTAAATATGTACTAAAGATTCAGACTAATTGTAAATCTAATGGGACCACTTTAATCGATGTCCGTTAATATTTGTAGGCGTGGTAAGGTTACGAGACGCACTTGGCGATGTGAATGAGATGGGGCTGCGTGAAATGCAGTCCGTGTTCTTCCTCGTCCATTTGCCTTCATTCAAACGTCAACATTTGATCTGCCTGTCTCTGTCATTAAGGCCACTTGGCCACAGTATGTCTTAGTTCTTGCAAGCTAAGCTGGAGTCATTCTCTTTTCGACATATGTCCCACCAAATTCTGTAATAATAATGTTCCATATTCTTGGTTCTTTCGGTAAAGTCACGTAGAAGGGAAATAATAAAATAATAGAAATATAAAACAATAAAAATTCTCACGTTTCCATTGCAACACACACCTGATGATGATTGCTTGTGTTGCAGTGGAAAAATATCTATTTTCTGCGGATCTCTATGCCAAAAGCTAACGTTCAACCGATTGATGCACGTGCTTGGTGATCAAACTTTTCTGCTAATTTGACCAAGTCCAACATCGGCTCAACTTTCATGCGACGGACATAACTCTCATGTTCAGAGTGGGATGGAATGTGCTTTCCTTTACTGTGTGGACCAGAGGTCACTAGAAGCGATGTCAGAGGTAGCTTTGTGATGATCTCATTCAATGGGCCATTCTCCAATACGACGGGTTCCGCTGCTCTGTGAGAGATCCGAGTGGATCCTCCGTCTCATGACACGATATCGAAAGCACAATCCGAATAAAATGTAGTTTCTTGTATTGTACATAAGGGGTCAGACCACGGAGGACCTTCAGAATGCTGAGTGTGAACTTGAAATTGATTCTGGACTGGTTCAGGGGATTGTTGAACAATTGGAATATTAGGTGAGTGAGATGTCTGCCAGCGTTTTTTTGAGTCCATAATCAAGATTTTTGGGTTAGATCATGTAAATATGCACTCAATAATACACGTAAATATGCACTATTTATTCGACCTAATCCAAAAATCTCTATTGCGGCTAATATTGGTCACGAAGGCCTTCGTGTTAAACTTGTTTTTTCTAGTCTTCTGGAATCTGGCGATGAAACATATCGGGGAGTCGTAGATAAGACGTGGGGGTGGGGGGGCGGAGAGAGAGTTGCAATTGTAGAGCCTATTGGAGCGAGTTACAACATCAGTTGTCCTCTCTACAATGGCATTGCTCCTCTCCTTCACAGAGGCTGTAGCCGAGCAGCTGGTCCGTCTGCTGAGCCACGCAAGTACGATGGCAGAGCTCCTGGGCCTGCCCGCGCTGTCACGCGTGGAGAAGCAGCTTGCCGAGCACTTTGACTCGTGCAACCTCCCCAGCCTGGGCCTCGGCTCCTTCTTGGACATCCTCCAGGTGCGTACGTGACATGCGTGAGCCCACTCGCCTCCAGCTGGTAAGAGACAGTACAGCAAGTAGGTGTGCGACACTGCCCGTGCAAGGTTTGAGTGTACTTCCCGCCTCTGAGTGGCGCGCAAACTTAAGTTCACTTCCGAAATTGTGCGCAATAATATTAGTTTATTATTATGAACTTAAAACTCAGTTGTCGATAACTCAAATACGTTAGAGTGTTATTATGTAATTACTGCCAATGCAGAGCACAACAAATGATCACGTAACGTAAGATACATGGGTTTTCTCTTGTCACTCTTAAAAAATGTACGTGAATTTGGCAAAAGTGAGTGTACAAAAGTGACATTAAGGAAAAAATGTTCATAACACTATATATGCAAAGTGGCCGGGTGGCTCAGAGATCAAAGCGATGCATTGTCAATAATGAGGTTCTGGGCTTTAATCTGGATTTTGACCGCTTGGGATTAAACCGAGTTTTCAAGTCTAGCAAGTTGATCGTCCCAGCCCCGTCAGCAGTGGCTGCACAAAACATCAATCTTTTTAAACTTGCGTTTTGCACTTCATTTTCTTATTTCCAGCTCTGAGAATAACAATTTCAGCTTGACTCTCGTGCGCCGCACAATCTCATAGCACAGCTAATGTGAAAGCGTTGGCTCCTGTTGTGTAAAAGATAAAAGGCCACCCACAGCATTTAAATGACACACGGGCTGTATGGCTATGCGAGATTTACGAATGGATTATTCGTCTCTTGACAAAACGCCGATAGCACATTTGGAAGAAAAAAAATTGAGAATGAATTTTGTTTTAATATGCAAACTTAAATCTCTAATATATTATTAGTTTTCGTGCACTGCATTGTGAGAAGCAGCTCCATGCGTATCTTTCAGTTTTAAGCCGGTGTTTGCCTTGCGATCGCCTCGGTGTCAACCAACCGATGTTGACGGATTTGTTGTGTCTGTGGCAGCTGTTGGAGGAGACTGGGTTGTGATCTCTGCCCTGGGCGGATCTGGAGCCACGGCGGGAAGCTTCTGCCCCAAGCGCGACGAGCTGCTGGAGTTCATCCGCCAGTGCGGCAGCTTCGACCCCGCAGCGGTGAGACGCGGGCCACTGCAGGGCCCACCGGGGCGGCTCGGAGATGGGGATAAGGATTTGTAGATATAGGGCGCTCGCTGAAATAAACTCGGCAACTCAAAGCGCTGTACAGCAACGTCTCATCTCAATCATTCCATTGCCCTGCGGCAGCCTCGCCTCCCCAATGGCAGCTGTTCCTGTTTGGCACGTGGTGCGTGCACTAGCGGCCTGTGAATGGATATGTCTGCCAGTAGGGAGCGATGTTCGATTTTCCTACCTGGTTTTTCTTCGATAAAGTAATTTGCAAGTATTTTATCGGATTTGGCAAATCTGGAACATGATGTAGTTACACAGTGGCCAATTAATTTTTTAAATACAGTGTCATGGGATTATTATCCTACATTGTGAAACAGACCACTTTGTTTATGGTGAATAAACTGGCTAAATTAACCAGGGTGTATGCTGGGCTTGAACCAAGAACTACCACTCGGCCATGTTTCTATAAATTCGTGCAGTCACATTAACGCTGTTCACGTCGTACGCAATGGACACTTCATTATTAGCATCACATCTGCCCCTGTTTGGTCCCTAGACCATTTTGAGAAGTCTTGTAAGGGCGGCGTATTACAGTTTGATTTTATATCGTCACGGCAAATATCCCATGGAAAACCACCCGTTCCGTGGGGGGCCTTCGCGCTGACACGGATCGGATGCGCCAGTGGACAAGGGCTGCTAGCAACTCGGCCGCCTCCAAACGAAAGAGAGAGGGTTCCAGGTGTCTGTTGTTTGCTGTCTGCTCTGCAGCTGCTGGCTGTGGACTGTGTTGTGGGGCAGCACTCATGCGTTCCTGCTGCAACCTTTTCACAACCCCGTGACCAACCTTTATGAAACTGGCGCAGAAAGCCAAGCCCGGTGGTGGCAGCGGCAGTGCCCATCGGTGCGCTGTATTGTACGAGACGGCGCTGTGTGCTCGCGAATCGAGGTTTTGCAGCCCCTCCTAAGTGCCCCCCTCCTCACCCCTCTGGTCACCTCGTGATCTGCCTGACCGCCACGGGTCGCTCAAAATTGTTGGGAGTTGGCGACAGACACTTGGGGTTCTTTAATTTTCACATCAAAGGGTCAGTGAGCATCACCAATATGCCATTGGGAATGGAACTTAATAATTCAATGCTCAAAGCAAGTGATTGGGGAGCCAAACTGAAGATTGTGTGTGTAACACCCCTCTGGCAGTCCACTGCCTGATGAAGGTCTTGCCACGTTGCTTTGGTCATGGGGGTTGTTGCACCAAACTTCACCACGCTTGGTGAAGGGGGTGGGGATTAGGCTCAGGACTGGTTCAGATATCAGTCACCACTGAGGTTAGACATGGCTAGGAATCCAACTCGGATCGCTGCGTTAGTATCGCAATGCACCAAACATTGCAGCAGTGCTTCAGAAATCATTCCGAAGTTGCTTGATATTGCACACAGTTTGAATAAACCATCATTACTTCAGGAAATATATTTTGATTTTAAATTAAACTTTAAAGCGCGATACATCGGTTAAATCGATTAATATTTATTATTAAGCTGACAATTCATGTATTGCATTACACGTGTAAGAATCAACATTTTAAAAACTGTATCCCTTTTTATTTTAATCGTTGCACATTGCCACTGCAGACAGTCGACATTCTCAGTGTAAGTTCAAAAGAACTGACAAACACCTTGTGAAAAACCCAACGCAGAAGATCCCTGGGTTTGATATTCCACGAAGCTCATGGTCCACCCAAAACTGCATCCGCACAAACCATGGCAGATGCGGATACCTGATGCACAAATGGAAAATGTAAAACTCTCCAGTGTTTGACTGTGGTCATCCAGAACAGATCGTACAACGTGAAACGACGCAATAGAAAATGAAAGTCAAGCCACAGTGCGATTGTGACCATGCAACCCAAGCGATGCACGACATCGTAAACCACTGTCGTCTGTGCTCCTTCAACGGGGTAGGAATAGTAAACCGACACGAGGTTTCTCCTGAAGCCCTCTCGTCGTGACCAGCAGACCTCGGACATTGCCATGTGGCTCCTGAACATGTGGCCCTCATGCGCAAGAATAGAATTCCTTGTAAAAGGTTTCAGTTTGGTGTTTTAATATCTTAACACCTGTTTTGTTGCCAGAAAAAAAGGGGAAGAGCAATGCTCATAAAACCAGACTGTTTACTGTGCAAGGAGATTGTGAGTTTTTTTATTTTTTTCTAATACTTTTCATAACTGATTAAAGAATAGAGATTGGTCTTTAATTCTTATGATCTTCTTTGGAGCCATTTTTATATTCTGGGCAAAACGAGTAAATTTCAACTCGTGTGGAAATGTACCTTCAGTGAGTTGAGAGGTTGACAATGTGTGTGGGGAGTGCATAGATGAGATCTGACACAGCCACAAGTGCAAACGCAGGTAGCTCGTCTTCTCCCATGGATGAAAATGTCTTCATTGATGCGAGCATATTCAGTACATCCAGTTCAAATATGGGACTGAACTAGAAGTCGGGTGAAACCCAGTGCCGTACCCGATACACCGGACATTGACCTTCGCCGCCTGATGAGTATCTCATGGCCGATGGTGTCGAAGGCGGCTGAGAGTTCGAGGTCAACCAACGCTGTGGCGCACCGGTCTACCATGATCTTGTAGAGGTCATCTGTTGTCTTTAATAGAGCCATGTAAGTGCTGTGGAACTTACGGTAAGCCGACTGCAACGGCATGAATCTGCCCATCGCAGTGACATGGGGAAGTAATTGCTTCCGACAAAGGCGTTCTATGACCTTTTACATCGTACTCAGGTTTGAGAACGGGACAGTTTGCATTCATGATCCTGAATCATGACAATTCCTTGACTCTCCGGCAGTGGTGAATCGTTCCAACCATCAGTAGGAATCGTGTACATGTGTGTACGTGTATAAACAGCTGTACCCATTGGCTTCTGTTATGGTCACGTACGTTTCTTTTTTATTTCGTGGAATATCACTTACTGTACTTCACGAGGTGAGTGTTTGTGTAGATAGGAATCATGTTATGTAGAGAATATGAATCTAATTCAGTACCTCGATATGTCTCCCACAGACGAGCGGGGAGACAGCAGCCAGGCGGTGAGCCGGCACTACCAACAATCGCCCAAGCTCTGCGGTTCTCTTTACATTCCCATATTTGCAGCCACTTACTGAGTGTTTACATGTGGGGGGAAACCAGTACACTCGCAGAAAACGTACGAATGTGCGCATGGGGGCAACGTTCTATCCCGTGCAGATGGAAAGGATTCCACAATTGTGTTCCACTGCCTCCTGGCAAGCCAGGGTATGACTCATCCTCGATCTCCACCGGAACCAGAATCAGAATCAGAAAGGGTTTTATTCGCCATGAAAGTTCGCACAGACAAGGAATTTACTTTGGCTGGAAGGTGCATACATTCAACATTTAGGAATCTTAAATCTTAAATAAGTGGTTTACAAGTCTAACTATACTAAAGGTACAAGTCTAACTAATACTAAGGAGCTAAAGTATGTAAAAATTGAATAAAATAAAATCTAAAATATACAATAGCTATAATATACAATATAAAATTACAAAAATGCAAATAGGGTAACAGTGCAAATATGGCAGGGTGTCATTGTGCAGATATTGTGTTAAAGTCAGTTTGAGCGTTAAAGTCAGTTTGAGCCCTTGGCCTTGTTGAAGAGGCCAGCAGCGGATGGGAAGAAACTGTTTTTGTGGCGTGAGGTTTTGGTCCTGATGGACTGCAGCCTTCTGCCGGAGGGGAGTAGCTGGAACAGAGAGTGTCCATGGTGGGAAGAGTTGGCCACAATCTTCCTCGCTCGCCTCAGGGTCCTCGAGGTGTACAGGTCCTCGAGGGTAGGAAGATTGCAGCCAATCACCTTCTCAGCAGTACGGATGATACGCTGCAGTCTGCTCTTGTCCTTGGCAGTGGTAGCAGCGTACCAGATAGTGATGTAGGAGGTGAGGATGGACTCAATAATGGTTGTGTAGAAGTGCACCATCATTGTCTTTGGCAGGTCGAATTTCTTCAGCTGTCGTAGGAAGTACATCCTCTGTTGTGCTCTCTTTATGAGGGAGCTGATGTTCAGTTCCCACTTGAGGTCCTGGGAGAGGATAGTGCCCAGGAAGCGGAAGGACTCCACAGTGTTGACTGGGGAGTCGCACAGGGTGATGGGGGTGAGTGGGGCTGTATTCTTCCTGAAGTACACAACCATCTCCACTGTCTGAAGAGCATTAAGCTCTAAGTTGTTCTGGCTACACCAGGTCACCAGGTTGTCAGCTTCCCACCTATAGTCGACTCATCCCCACCAGAGATGAGCCCAATGATGGTGGTGTCGTTCGCAAACTTCAAGAGTTTGAGGGAGGGATGACTGGAGGTGCAGCTATTGGTGTACAGGGAGAAGAGCAGAGGGGAAAGGACGCAGCCCTGAGGAGATCCGATGCTGATGGACCGGGAGTCAGAGACTTGTGTTCCCAGCCTAACGCACTGCTTCCTGTCAGACAGGAAGTCTGTGATCCACCTGCAGGTGGAGTTCCACACGGCGATTCACAGTCCTGCGTGATAAACTGACTTTTTCAAATTTGCTTTTGATCTCCGGACACAAGATGTCTGCTGTCTGTACCATGTATTCTTTTACAAACTTGCCTTCGGAGAAAGTGGTAATGAGTGGTAATGTTGGTGAGAAGAAGTTTTTAAAGAAAATTTAAATCGAAGTGAAGAAGGAAATTATTGAAAAGTTTGTATAATTAATGATTTTTCAAACTTTAATTATGTTTTCTGTGCTTAAAACTCTTTAAAAAAAACTGTGGGGTCTAGAACAGACTCGTGAAATTCGGAGAGAACTCGGAGTTAAGTTTTGTTTCTTTTGTTGAATTACACAAAGCGTAACAGTTATGTATATAACTTTTGTTATATAAAATTCCTAGTAAGATATTAATTTTGTGATGTAGTCATACCCCTCCCCCTCATTCAAGCCGTAATTTATAGAGCGAAAGCACCGAGTACGTAAATCGCTAACATAAGAACCCGTGAATCTCTTCTCGCATCATTCATACGATGATGCGGTGAAGTAAACGTTCATACGATATTACAGTGAATGCTTACAAAAACAATACTGTACCCAAATATTACTGTTAACTTACTTTCAATAGAAACATGAATTGCTCATACGAATATTCTCTCTTTCTCCTGGTCAAAGTCCGCCATCTATTGGGGAAATGGGGGCATTACAGGAGGAAGGTAAATTTTAATTTAATAATAATATTTGGACAAGTTCGGCGGGCCGGATTAAAAAGCCCAACGGGCCGTATATGCCCCACGGGCCGTTCTTTGCCCATGTCTGGCCTAGGTACACAGCCTAGGTACACAGCCTAGATACACTACTCTGGCTACGCTCTGGGGTCCTTCGGCTACAATTACGCTAGGGGAGGCTACCTGACCCGACCCAGCCAAGGTGCGGGTCTGGACTCTGGCTTCCTCGGAACTCACCGTTACAAGGACGTAGAGCCGGGAGTCCCAGAGTCCCACCACTGGCCCTCACAGCGTCCCGGCCCTTACAAGCGGGACGAGGGGGTCCAGGGTCCTAAGCTGGCTGGCTGGCGGGTCTTGGGTCTTGAGCTGCGACTGGCCCCGATCGGCCAGGGAGCTGCCCTTTTATGCCTCGTTCCCAACGAGGGGTGGGGTTGTGTGCACCCCCAGATATCCCGCAGAGCACACACAGCCCCCCCGTTGGTGGCGCCAAGGGGCTTAACTGTCTGGGGTGCCTGGGATCCTAGCGCCTGGCGCCGAGGGCTTATCTGTCTAGGGTCCCAGAGCCCCCAGCAGCCCCTCCCCTCTTATGGCACTACACAGGTAGAGTGCAAAAGCAAAGTGGATGTACTGATTGTATCTTCATTGCGGGACTCATCCAGCAGTGGATTGACATGGGCTTCAGGTATATCCACGTACAGACGGGCAACAAATACTGGGGCCACCTAGCGGTAAATGTTTGCCGGTGCACATTGGGACCGGCTCACACGTCACTGGCCCCAGGCAGCCACTGGCTTGCAACCTAGCGAAGGGAATCTCCCACCAATGAGAACCACGCACAACCCAGGGTGCAGTCCTATAACTTGGACTCGCAAACACAACAAAACCCGTAGCTGTCAACCCACACGGTTTACCCGTATTCTGTTGGGCGAAAGTGAGTTTTCAGGTCCATACGGGGCACAGCCGTTTGAAAACGAGCAACATTTGTGTTAAGTCTATTTGTGTGTGCTTCTCCCTTGTGATGGGACTTTGTAGGATGAACGTTGAGATTTATAAGGGGCACGGGGTGACCAACAAGGTCTGAATTGGTCTGTGATAAGGGGATGACAGCCATGCAAACCCCACACAATACAAAACGCCAAGCGGCCAGCAACAACAAAAAATAATACATAACTGTCCAATGAGTAATTAGATAATTAAGATCATAGAAACACGTTCCTTAAATTGATCAAGTTTATTGTTGCAAGAGTTTGGGGAAATAGGAATACCGGGTGGGGATTCCAGAGTAGAGCAGTGCAAACTGATGAAGCTGAAAAGAGTGAGGTGACCTGCATGGTGGTGAGCGGGTGGGTGAGTAAATGGGTTAGTGTTTGAGTAAACGAGTGGATGAGTGTGTGATAGGGTGATTGAGTCAGTGACCGGATGCGTGGGTGACTGGGTGAGTGGGTGAGTGGGTGAGTGGATGCGTGGGTGATTGAATGGGTGACTGGATGAGTGGGTGACTGGATGAGTGGGTGAGTGAGTGAGTGGATGCGTGGGTGAGTGGATGCGTGGGTGATTGAATGGGTGACTGGATGAGTGGGTGACTGGATGAGTGGGTGATAGGGTGATTGAGTGAGTGGGTGACTGGATGAGTTAGTGACTGGATGAGTGGGTGATTGAGTGAGTGGGTGACTGAATGAGTGTGTGATTGAATTAGTGACGAGTTGAGTGGGTGATAGGGTGATTGAGATGAGTGCGTAACTGGATGAGTGTGTGATAGGGTGGTTGAGTCAGTGACCGCACGCGTGGGTGACTGGATGAGTGGGTTACTGGATGAGTGGGTGAGTGGGTGAGTTGATGAGTGGGTGAGAGGGTGAGAGGGTGAGTGGATGCGTGGGTGACTGGATGAGTGGGTGACTGGATAAGTGGGTGACTGGATGAGTGGGTGATAGGGTAATTGCGTGGGTGACTGGATGAGTGTGTGAAAGGGTGATTGAGTGAGTGACTAGATGATTTAGCGACTGGATGAGCTAGTGACTGGATGAGTGGGTGATTGAGTGAGTGGGTGAGTGGATGAGTGGGTGAGTGGATGCTTGGGTGATTGAATGGGTGACTAGATGAGTGGGTGACTGGATGAGTGGGTGAGTGGATGAGTGGGTGACTGGATGAGTGGGTGAGTGGGTGAGTGGATGAGTGGGTGAGTGGGTGAGTGGATGAGTGGATGAGTGGGTGGGTGAGTGAGTGGATGCGTGGGTGATTGAATGGGTGACTGGATGAGTGGGTGACTGGATGAGTGGGTGACTGGATGAGTGGGTGATAGGGTAATTGTGTGGGTGACTGGATGAGTGTGTGATAGGGTGATTGAGTGAGTGGGTGACTGGATGAGTGGGTGATAGAGTGATTAAGTGAGTGGGTGACTGGATGAGTGGGTGATAGGGTTATTGAGTGAGTGGGTGACTGGATGAATTGGTGACTGGATGAGTGGGTGATTGAGTGAGTGGGTGACTGAATGAGTGTGTGATTAAATTAGTGACGAGTTGAGTGGGTGATCGGGTGATTGAGATGCGTGGGTGACTGGATGAGTGGGTTACTGGATGAGTGGGTGAGTGGATGAGTGGGTGACTGGATGAGTGGGTGACTGGATGAGTGAGTGATTGAGTGAGTGGGTGACTGAATGAGTGTGTGATTGAGTTGCTTTATTTTATTTTCATTAATTTTGATGTTTTACCTACGTGACTTTACCGAAAAAACCTAAGAATATGATTCCTTGCAGTCACGAAAGCTTCAAATCTAGAATTAATGTGATTGAGTTGTTTAGTTGAGTGCGTTGTTGTGAACTGCAGTGTGGCACGGTGGTTGAACGCGGAGTGGAAGAGACGAAGCGGTCAAAGTGTCTGGTAGACCGAGTCCCTTAACGTGGGTGGAGGGGGGAATCAACGAGGTGAAGTTCACTGCAACATTCACCACGGTGGTGGTAGTAGTCGCAGCGAAAAAAAGAGTGATACTGGTGCACGTGGAAAGACATTAATTATAGGGCTGAATGAAGGGCGATGCGAGGTGGTGACGAGGTGGTGAGGAGGCGAAGAGGAGGGTAGAGGTGGTGAGGAGGTGAGGTGACATAGAGGAGGTGTAGAGGAGGGTGCCCCGCTCTTGGCGTTGATCTTGGTGAACACGTGTCCGCGCCCCGTCTCGTAGCTCTGCCTGGCGCTGATGCAGCCTCCACCGGCCGCAGCGACCAGCGGCCTCGCCGAGTCCGTGCCCAGCTCCGCTCTGAGCAAGCTCTCCATTGCGCGCCGTCTGCTCGCAGCGACAAACACAACGATAAACTTCCCCCCCCCCCCCCCCCCCGTGGCCTCTAACAGACTTATTTCCTATGGAGAGGTGATTTCTTTAAACAAAAGGGAGGAGCAGCAATGGGCTCTCCTTTATCTCCTGCTGTAGCGAATCTGTACAGTAGAACCTCTGGTCACGAACGCTTCTGACCACGACCAAATCGGGTTACGACCAAAAAACTCACAACATTTTTTAATCTGGTCACGAACTCATACTCGGGTGACGATCAAACATTTTCTTTTTGTAAGCACCAAATTGCCTGTTGTTTGTTGACAACAACACAAAGCGTAACAGTTAAATATATATAACTTTTGTTATATAAAATTCCTAGTAAGATATTAATTTCGTGAGTGTAGACATAACCACTCCCCTCCCCCCTCATTTAAGCCGTAATTTAGAGAGCGAAAGCGTTGAGTCCGTAAATCGCTAACATAAGAACCCGTTAATCTCTTCTCGCATAATTCATACGATGATGTGGTGAAGTAAACGTTCATACGATATTACGGTGAATGCTTCCAAAAACAATACTGTACCCAAATATTACTGTTAACTTACTTTCAATAGAAACATGAATTGCTCATACGAATATTCTCTCTCTCAGAATCGATCGACTGATGTAGCAGACGAAACAATCTTGTTGAACGATTCTAAACCTTGACGCGGCAATGTTAGTTTTCTCTGTTGTTCAAGGTTTTCTCAGTATTAATCAATGTTTTTACATTTAGTTTACTATTACACAGTGAATTATATGGCATAATTAACTATTTTTGTGCTTAAGAATCTTTAAAAAAACAAGATTTATATACAGTTTGTAAGAGTCTGGAACGGATTAATCGTATTTACATACAATCCAATGGGGAAATTAGGTTCGAGTCACGACCAAATCGGGTTGCGACCAAAGTTGTGGAACGAATTATGGTCGTGACCAGAGGTTCTACTGTACGTGGAAAACTTTGAAGCAAGAGCACTTGCTTCAAGTACATTAAAACCATCTTTTTGGTTTAGTTGTTGTCTGCCCACATGGTAATGATACACTTAATGAATGAATGTCTAAATAATCTCAATTAAAAAAAACGGCCATACAGTTGACCATGGAAATGGAGGTGAATAACACACTCCCTTTGCTGGATATTTTGCTCGGACGAGGCCTAAATGGTTAAATAACACACTGCGTTTACCGAAAGGGAACCCCGCACAGAAATCATCTCTCATCAAGACGCTCATACATCAGGCTGAAACAATGTCAGATGGTGAAAGTCTGAGGAGAGAGATTAAACATGTCAAAGAAGCGCTACGATTGAATGGCTACAATAATGCTAAAATTAACAGAGCAGTGAATAGCAAACCTAGATCGAACAGCAATACTGCTG